GTATAGGACGCAAGCAGATTTTGACATCAAATTTTGGGGTAAAAAAGTGCGTCTTATACACCGAAAAATACGGTAAGGTATTTCACAACTTACGAATCGTTGCGTCGTAAACCACTAATATAATGTAATTCAGCCACCCCAATGAGCACTGGTATTGAGGATAAACCCTTGTCACCAGCAACATGTCAGGAACAAGGTGTTGGTGAAATGTTATTATACTCTTCGTAAAGGATATCCGTATTAGGTCAGTAAAGATTGACGTGATTTAAGTTATTTTATTAGTATTACTGTAATATTAAGTCACACACACGTATGTATATTACTTCTGTTTCTTATATCCCAGCAGCTAGTTAGGGGGGCCGGAGTTAAGGATATGATACCACTGAACATTCTTTGAGCGCATTACAAAAGCGGCAGTTATTCGCGTATTCAGTTAACAAAACTGGGCAAATCCCTTGTGGTATAGGATGTTGTTAGCTGGCCGCCTACCTTCTGGTCAGTAGTTGAAAGTCCTCCAGTGGGACAGCGGTAAGTGTACGGACTTACAACGCTAAAATCCGGGGTTCGATTCCCCGCAGTGGACTCAGCAGATAGCACAATGTGGCTTTGCTCTAAGATAAACAAATAAAATTAGTTCAAAATTACAAACGATTATACTTGAATCCAAGGGAATTTCTTATCTGAACCCTTATCCGACATGCGCAGAAAAAGTGTTCCTCGGGCTCAAGAATTCCAAAATCTTAGCCCCCTCCCCGTGGCACAGCGGTATGTCTGCGGACTTACAACGCTAGAATCTGGGTTTCGATACCCGTGGTGGGCAGAGCACAGATAGCCCATTGTGTAGCTTTTTGCTTAATTACAAACAAACAAACCGAAATTTTAAAAAAATACATTTTTTGTAATAAACTTAACTGATTCGATATTCCATTCGTATTAACAGTGGAAATGTTCTTAATTGACTGAATATCGGTCCGTAAACAAAAACAGTACGATGTGGTTACTGAAACTGTAACCAAAAGCATCTGGATTAATCAGATTAAAAGAAACACAAAAAAAAAACGTAGAAGATAAAATCTCATTCTTTTGTCCGTACAGACTCGCTTGTCACGTAGGAGGCCTAAACCAATATTTGGAGGAACGTGGTTGCTCACGTATTTATAGAATATCACTTACTTAGGATCGATCTTCAGGCAGGTTCATGTTCTCTAGAATTTGAACCCGGCAAGGTTTTATTTAGCAATGTAAATCGAACTTTTTCTTTTCAAGTGTACTACATTACTGTTTCTTATCTTAGTTTAATGTCGCACGCTTTAGTTTAGGTGTGACTTCTTTTAGGTGCCCCTGTATGCTGGCTTAGCCTATGATGCTGTCATGATCTACGCTAAAGCACTGACGGAGGCTTTAAATAATCATCTGACAGAGTATGACGGAAAAGACATCATAGACAACATCAGGGGCCACGAATATCACAGTAAGTTAATCTGTCCATACAGTTAAAAAACGATCTAAAACCAGCACGTGAATGTTTGTTGTTAAATGTAAGATATCATAGACAACATTAGGGACCACGAATATCACAGTAAGTTAATCTGTCCATACAGTTAAAAAACGATCTAAAACCAGCACGTGAATGTTTGTTGTTAAATGTAAGATATCATAGACAACATTAGGGGCCACGAATATCACAGTAAGTTAATCTGTCCATACAGTTAAAAAACGATCTAAAACCAGCACGTGAATGTTTGTTTGTTTGTTGTTAAATGTAAGATATCATACACAACATCAGGGGCCGCGAATATCACAGTAAGTTAATTTATCCATACAGTTAAATACCGATATAAAACGATCTAAAATCAGCACGTGAATGTTTGTTTGTTTGTTGTTAAATGTAAGATATCATACACAACATCAGGGCCACGAGTAAAAGTGTATCTTAGTTGCAAGCAATTGTAAAGATAGCCATCTATATTTGGTACGTTTATTTATAACAAAAACAATTCTGCGTTTATTTCAGTTTATTAGTTGCAGTGAATTTGAATGAAGGACTAATTTTAATGTAGTATAGATGTCGCTGCATCTTTATATCTGAATATTGATTGTGAAAACCATTGACAGTGGCGTGTGTGATGGCTGAACATTTTTTCTCTGTTACGTTTTTATTTATTATTCCTAGTCCAAGAATTTAGCAATAGCATCTAAAAGATTTAACACTAGTGTCTTAGTCTTCTTTATTTATTCAGAAAACAGGGGAATAATGGCTTATGGTAAAGTTGGGAATTGGCTGGATTCAGAACAGAAAGTGGGACAAGTAATCTTACTTCCGGGAGTTTAGGTTTCTCTGTTTGCTTAGTGCATTAGATAATCCTTTGTAAATGTATTTTTTATGATAAGGAAGTGACGTAACATGACACACAGATTTCAAACTGCCTTGTTGTTGCTAAAAGGTTTATAATAAAAATGTCATCTAGCAATGTATTTTTTAAAACCAAAAACAAGCTGTCAGTGAAAAAGGAAGTGATAATCCGTACACATAATGCTAAATTTTTCATCCAATTTTTATGACTCGTTTGGTTTCATGAAGGACGTACTTTGGTACGAATTAGATGATTGTGTTGCTCGTCAGAAAAACAAAACAAACAAAAAAAACCTGAAAATAAAACATGTCAAATATTGACAAACTAACAAAGTCCCACAAAACACCTGCGGTCAAATTAGTATATTTATTGGAAGAGTACTTCTTTAAGTACACAATTTCTAGAATAATACATAATAATTCTAATCGCAGACACCGAAATCTATAAGCCTACTTGTTTTAGGCCTAACATTAGTTAAGCCTTTATTAAGTACTGTACAGACTGTTCCTGAAGGCTCATTCAAAATGAACCTGTGCAACACCCGCAACAAATATTGTAACAATTACCTGAATTATAGGTTATAGACGGGTGAAATTCATAGATGGTACTGATTTCTATCCTTCGTATTGGGTTCTTGTATTTAAGAATTCTTAAAACAGGAAATATTCCTACTTATTAACCCACTAGGTAACCACTCTGTGATTAACCAGACTCTGGTTAAGAAATAATCATTAATGATACTAACTCGCGTGTACAGCAAGCGACTTAAAAGAAAATGATAACGCAGTAGGTTTGGTTAGTGCCTGATATTGGTTTTAGTATCTAAAGAATGTAACGTATGTGTTAAAAACATATCGAAAACTTTAAAACTTGAATAGAAGAAGAATAAACAGATGTTTTTTGGGTGAAACATCCATTGAGAAAGTGATTTGGCTGTTTTTTTCTGGGCCTCGCCTAATAGTTAGTGTTCACGATTCGCGTCCAGCTGACGCGCTTCACACTTTGTTGATGTAGGTGCATTATAAGAGTGACGGTCAAATCCTAGTATTCAGCCAGACATGATTAACCCAAGAGTTTGCGGTGGGTACTTGGTGACTAATTGTCTCCCGTCTAGTTTTATCACCTCAAAATTATGGACTGTTATGCTTTCGTGAAAATTCAAATACTATAAATCGATCAATAAGCCAATGTTTTTGCAGTTAGAGGCTTGAGACTTGGATGAAATTAATTCGATAAAACCTTCAGTTTTACACTATGATTCATACTTGAAAGAAACTGTTTTTAAGTCATAATATGTTGTTAATACCTTCACTGCGCTGCTGGAGATCAGATTCTTTTAACACTTTTCACGATACGCTTGTTTTTAAGGTATTCACGGATTCAGTGTTATGATAGATGAAAATGGAGACGCAGAAGGAAACTTCGCTCTTCTAGCTCTACTCGACAACCCAACGCGAAAAGACGCAGAAAATACCAAAACCATGCAACCAGTTGGGAGATTCACCTACCAGGGTGCGCATGGGCTTCCGGTAAAGAGTATTCAAATTTATAAACTGATTCTTCAAGATAAAAACAAAACAAAATACCAATGCACAGATAAAAAAGAAAATATTTGTGAGTGATTTTTTTGACGATAATTTTTTTATCACACATAACTGATTTTCATATTATTTTAAAGTTTCAATGAGAAAAAAGTTAGAAAAAGTTTAAGCACAGATTGCAGACTAAAATACATGTAGGAAAATGACAAAAGAACGTCCTAAATTTCAGTTGAGATATTGTCGGTTTTATTTCAAGTTCAAATGTGATATTATTGGTATTATTTAAAGTTCAAATGTGATATTATTGGTATTGTTTAAAGTTCAAATGTGATATTATTGGTATTGTTTAAAGTTCAAATGTGATAATATTGGTATTATTTAAAGTACAAATGTGATATTATTGGTATTGTTTAAAGTTCAAATGTGATATTATTGGTATTATTTAAAGTTCAAATGTGATATTATTGGTATTGTTTAAAGTTCAAATGTGATATTATTAGTATTGTTTAAAGATAAAATGTGATATTATTGGTATTATTTAAAGTTCAAATGTGATATTATTGGTATTATTTAAAGTTCAAATGTGATATTATTGGTATTGTTTAAGGTTAAAATGTACGTTTTCTTTAAACCCTAAGTGAGATACGTAGTAGTACTTCGTGCTCCATTAATGAATAGGAATAAGATGTAAAAATTTATGTGTATAAAACCACAGAAAATATAGTCTGAAAACATTTAGAAAACGTCACCGATACAACGTTGGCTTAAGTGAAGCCACCTATAGAACAAAGAATCTAATTTGTCTTTGGAGTTGCCTAGACTATGGTGCTCTTTTTATTGGTGAAACAGGCAAACGTATGGGAGACAGAACCACTAAACACGTTAGGCAACTTAAAGTAATAGTAAGGAAGAAAGAGGATCCTCCTACCTAGACATTAACAGCCGCGAAATACCGACAAATGAACGTCCTTTCACAGCTGGGCCTGGCATGGCCAGGTGGTTGGGGAGCTCGATTCGCAGTCCGAGAGTCGCAGGTTCGAATCCCCGTCCCATCAAACATGCTAGCCCTTTCAGCTATGTGGGCGTTATAACGTGATGGTCAATCCCACTATTCGTTAGTAAAAGAGTAGCCTAAGAGTTGACGGTGGGTGGTGATGACTATCTGCCTTCCCTCTAGTCTTTCACTGCTAAATTAGGGACGGATAGCCCAGATAGCTTTCGTGTAGCTTTGCGCGAAATTCAAAACAAACGAAACCAAAACCTTTCACAGCTACGACACTACTTTAAAGCACTTTAAGTCTAAGAACATAATCTACACAGAACAACGGACCTGCCTAGCCTTCGCGGACATTTCTTCTTGAAAAACTGTTTAATATAAAGATTTGTGTTTTTCTTTTTTTTTAACTATGATTATTCAATATAACTTCATATAATTATGCACTTAACAATACCCGTATTTTATTTTACATTTTACTGTATCAAATGATTTGTTTGTTTGTAATTAAGCA